CCAACACCTGTTGGAGCATTTTAACTAATGTTAAGGAGTGATATAAAATGTGGAAGATAAAAATTAAGTAATTTAGGAGCTGTATTTAGGATTGGGATTAGGATTAGAATGGCTTTATAAAACCTAATAGTTGTGCAGCACCTTATAGACTAACACAAAATGTAGATGGTGTCATGGGCAAAACCCACTTCTTCAAATGAATGGAGTTTAAGGGATCCAGTTTTCAAATACATAGCACAGAGAGGGTATGGGGGAAGAGGAGGAAAAAAGAAGAAAAAATGGGAAAGAAATTGTCAATTAGAGCGTCCCTCCTAAATGAAACTGACAAGAATACTTATGACCCACTTTAAGTACCCTTTGTTTGGTTTATGTCATTAGGATGTGGACTGTAGCGGGCCATCCAGCTAATATCTTTGTTTAGACTTCTGTTGTCGGAATCAAACTTGTAAATGAAATTGAGTTCTGTAGCTTCCCTGTTGAGCTAGCTTTTGAAATTGGTTTGAAATAATATGGTGACTTTGAGATCCATTAGTGAGTGCCCAGGGTATGTCTACACTACCCCGCTAGTTCGAACTAGCGGGGTAGTGTAGACATACCCTGGGCACTCACTAATGGATCTCAAAGTCACCATATTATTTCAAACCAATTTCAAAAGCTAGCTCAACAGGGAAGCTACAGAACTCAATTTCATTTACAAGTTTGATTCCGACAACAGAAGTCTAAACAAAGATATTAGCTGGATGGCCCGCTACAGTCCACATCCTAATGACATAAACCAAACAAAGGGTACTTAAAGTGGGTCATAAGTATTCTTGTCAGTTTCATTTAGGAGGGACGCTCTAATTGACAATTTCTTTCCCATTTTTTCTTCTTTTTTCCTCCTCTTCCCCCATACCCTCTCTGTGCTATGTATTTGAAAACTGGATCCCTTAAACTCCATTCATTTGAAGAAGTGGGTTTTGCCCATGACACCATCTACATTTTGTGTTAGTCTATAAGGTGCTGCACAACTATTAGGTTTTATAAAGCCATTCTAATCCTAATCCCAATCCTAAATACAGCTCCTAAATTACTTAATTTTTATCTTCCACATTTTATATCACTCCTTAACATTTCAGCACTTAGCTTGTCTCAGAAGAATACTTTCAATCTACTATTACCAGCGCATACTATCTATTCCTTGGTTTTAGCATTATTCAGCCTACAAGATTTCAATTTTATTGTCAAACCATATATGTCACTGTGAAAACTACCACAGTATCTTGCTTTTGTGTGTTATTCACTTGGAAGAACCTATCAATATGTGTAGGGCCTTACCAAATTCATGGCCAAAAATGAATCATGGACTATGAAATTTAGTCTGCCATCCTCCTATAACTAGATTTCATGGTTGTTATTGTTTACTTCTGTGCTGCCTTCCGAACTAGTATCAGAGGGGTAGCCGTGTTAGTCTGAATCTGCAAAAGCGGCGAGGAGTCCTGTGGCACCTTATAGACTAACTGAAGTGTTGGAGCATAAGATTTCATGGGCAAAGACCCACTTCGTGACATGCATCTGACGAAGTGGGTCTTTGCCCATGAAAGCTTATGCTCCAACACTTCGGTTAGTCTATAAGGTGCCACAGGACTCCTCGCCGCTTCTTCAGAACGAGGTGGCTGGAGAGTGGTAACATCTGGCCAGGTGCCCAACTCTGAAGAAAGCATCACTGCCAACAGAAGTGAGGATGGCATGGTATGGAGTGGAGTCATCACTTTGAGAGGACAGAGCTGCCCTTACGGGTGGATGACAGCCCAAAGTATTATGGTCAGAGGGGGCGCTGTGGTAATGCTTTCACCAAATCAGCCCAAGGCCCATTGAACCTCGAAATGCTGGGTCCTGACCTGAATGCTGCTTCTATGCACCAGATTGCAGCTGCTAGTCCTGGCCAGACTGCAAAGGCATCAGATTTCTTCTTCTCCTGCATGGGTGCTCCTGACGTTCCACCTCCAGGAACCTCCCTGACTGCAGGAAGCTCTATGGGCTGCTGGGTAGGAGCCCAGCTCTGAAGGCACCTCTGCCACCAGCAGCAGTACCACAGAAGTAAGAGTAGCATGATATGGGTTTGTCCCTCTTGCCAGCAGCAACACAGAAGGATGGCAATTCCACAACCCCTTGCAATAGCCTTGCAATCCCCCCACCATGAATTTCAGATTTGAAAAGATTACATTTATGATTTTTTAAATCCTAGGACTGTGATATTTACCAAAATGGGTCATGAATTTGTAAGGTCCCTAAATATGTGGCTTAAAAGTAACATCAGTCTCTCATCTCATTCTAACAAACACACAGTTTAACCTTAGTTTTTAAGAATTCATTAGGTTCCCATCAGGCTTATGTGCTATAATCAGGTTTACTTTAGAATGTTATATAATACTGTTTGCCATGATAAAATCGTAATTTACATATTTAATAATCTCCAAAATATAAATATCAGCATGTTGTTCATTTTACAGTCATAATTCCCCAACAGCAAAGACTTTGAACAGCTCTCTGAATATGCCTCCTGCTGTATTCATAGCAACACTGCTATCTCCACCCTACAGTTCTCCTGAGTTTCCACAGTAAAAGACACCTCCCACTTCTGACTACTGACAATGTAAGGCAGGTTTCTGGGAATATTTAACTCAAGTATAGTAGGGTAAGCATATCATATGTTGCTTTTACAATGTACAGTAGATCTTAAACAACTAGGGATCATTACCATTATTACTTAATAAACGGAAAACAGCTTCTGCTCACTATATTTATCTTGTCCTGTCTTGCTTTAAAAACATGAATGCTGCTACACAGAGCTACTGTACAGTAACTTGATATGCCTAGTCACTTTGTGTACATTGCTCCAGACTCATCCTACAACCCATCATCTCTAAGGCTGATTTCAATGTGTTCTCTTCTGGTTGAAGGGAAGGGATAAATTCATGGATGTCAGCACACACACACAAAGCCATACCTGGATAAGTCTACTGCAGACAATCTAATGGACAGATGCATTTATTAATGTATTGATGTTAATTTGCTCCAGACCCTCCCTTTCCTACTCCAAATTTTCCAATAAACCAAAGGACAAACCTGTAACTGCAAACCTTTCCAAGGAGTTGAAAGCTGAGTGTGTCTTTACTGAAACACAAACAACGCTATAAAAAGCCATGGGAGATGTCTGGTAGGACTGCCAAAGCAGCTAAAGCCATGGAAAACTGGACTTCCCCGTCCCTCTCTGGAAGTCGCCTTATTTTTCTCTGAAAACAGATCACAGTGTCCCTCCCCCGGGTGGCAAAATGGCAAACAGCTGGAGAGCGGGGTGGGGCCCAGAAGGGAAGGGACCGATCCTGTTCAATGGCAAAATGACCCAACCTGCAGATCGCTCGACAATGCATCGAACGTGTGCGGTGGGCGGGGGTGGGCAGCGCGCCGAGCGGCTCCGAACCCCTTCGGCCATTTCCGACGCTGCTCTGTGTCTCCCGACAGATTCCGAACGCCGCCGAGGCAGGCTCCCGGCGGCCGCCGAGCTTTGCCGAGCTGCCGGGGCCGATCGACTTTTCCAGGCTCTGCTGGGCGCTGTCCACCACTCGGAACGCCTGAAAGCTCGCAGCTGGCGCCGCGGCGTGGGGACCGGCCCGGCCGACAGCCTCTCTGCAGGCAGAGTCCCCTCCCTTTGCTCAAAGCCTTCCAAGGGAGGCCCGCTCCCCCAGGCCACCTCTGGCAATGACAGGCCGCCACGCCCGCTGCTGGGCATCGCTCTGGGAGCCTCCCCCAGGGGGTCAGCGTAGCAACTCCCTTTGCAATCAGCCTTGCACCGATCAATAACAAACCCGCCCTGGGCCTTTAAAACCAAGCAGCAGGGACGCTCCTAAGCCTGCGATCAGGGGCTGCTCAGTGATGGCGCCACCTTGAATGAGCTTGTCATGGCTATTCCAGGGTAAGCTCGACATTTCTCATGTACTTACAAAATAAAAATACCCTCCCCCCCTTTCG